TTGTTTACGGGCTTGCAGTAAGTACTAATTGTTGTTAATCAACATAGATGAAGTTTGCTTCTTTATTCGTACAAAGTATTTTTACAGTCAAACACATTTTAATGCCATAAGTTCAATCGAAGTAATTATGACCGAGCGTAAGCTGCTCATTTAGAACAATGTTTACCGTATAGCACTGCGTCAAATATGTATCAAATAATTAAAGAATATATGATAGACTTGTGAATCTTAAGAAACTTCGAGGTAGGAGATATTTTTATGTAGGATTTACGTTGTTGGGACCGATGTTTCACTTCGGGATATCCGATTTTTTCGAGTTTTCAGAGTTCGATTTATCAGAGTTTTTATTACTAAGATTAAGAAGAATTTTGGCCGGGACCGATGAAATACTTGAGTTAGACGGGGTCTTCGAGTTATACGAGTTCGAGATAACGAGGTTCGACTGTACTTCTTATAAAGCAATCAAGCTGACTTAATTATAACTATATAAGATATCGTCCATAATATAAATCTTATAAAATATTGTGTATAATATATCTAAATTAATGTTATGAAATAGAGGATCAATAATGCAGATCATTGAACAAATATTAAGTTCGCTGTCAAAGGAATGCGATTCGGTGTGGCGCAGGCGCCGAAGCAATTACATCCCGTTTCCCACATACAAACTTTTTAAAAGCAATGTTTATTTTTTATTGGTTTAGTTAATAATTCTTATTGATAAGAAGTACATATTTACATATTAAACATAATATTGGCTATCCAAATATATCATAGAACTTTTTCATTCTAAATACCAATCAACAAACAAAAACTATTCAATACTATATAGTTAGGCCGTAAATCAATATATAGACCACAGACAATCAGATACATAGTACCATGCTCGTGAGGTCACGCACGTTCACTTTCCTTAAAGCGCCGAGCAACGTCATTTACAGAATTTCTTCGTCTTGGCAGAATACTTAATGTCTGATTTTCGATCACAATTAAATCATTTCACTCTTTCAGTCTAACATAGCAAACCAATGTTATCAAAATGGAGAAAACATCACTAGTTTAATTTTTTTTACTAAATGTGTGTTGAGAACACCTTCCTATACAATACTCCTCTCTAAATATCTTGGTAATTAGTTTGCTGTGAATACTAGGCCGGTCTCCCTTAATCAAATTATGTCAACATTCTTTACTTCACTGCTGGGATTGGCTTTCTGGTCTATGTAGAAAACTTTTGGTTAACCATGAAATACTTTCTTTGCCCTATATATACTAATGTGCTTGTTTATTAACCTGTCATTGTTACGGTGTCAATTAAAATTCGATCTCAGAGCATTCAGTAGATAAGTACATATGTAACTTAATTTATCTGTTTGGAATACAGTACTTTCAAGCTCAGGTTTCCGTGTTTGTACATGTTTTTAGTGAAAGTTCAGATTTCACATATTTCAACTTCACTTTTTACAACGGAAGCTCAAGAGGTATTTCATCCTGGCCAGCATTCACCACTGAAATCCTCCTGAAGCCAAGAAGCCCATGTGACCCGGATATTTTAAAAATATTGGCAAAATATTCTCACAAAATCTGAAACAGCATTTCTTCTAGTTTTGGTTGAGATATGTATGCATGGACGTTATAACAACTCTAGAATCAAGTCCCTATGGATAGGACAAGACCCCGGAGCTAATCCCCGTCGTGTGTGTTCATTTCTTTGTGCCAAGTTATATTGTAATGGGTTGTAAATCTCAACCGTTTCCATGTTACATGACCAAGGAACTAAGTCACCAGTTGTAGACCTAAATCTCTAGGTAAATCCTGGTAGCAAGACTGTATTTATGCCAATCAATTGTAAACATTGTTTCCATGTTATGACCGAGGGTCGAAATCTCAATGGGGCGGACAAGATCCAATTAGAGTCAATGCAGGACGCAGGATAGCATTTGCTTGTGTATGCCTAGAGCTTGTATATAGGCCATGATCCAGGGACAGGGGTATCATTTTTTGCCATGTTACAACCCAGAGTATAAATCCTTAGAGCTGACCCCTGTCCTAATCATGGTAGCATGAATGTTTTCACGTTGCTGTATGGGTGGCAGTTTCATTTAGAAGATTTGATCCTTTGGGTTAAGTCCTCGACATGGGGCTTAACCCAAGGGCCATTTATGGAAGCATGGATGTTTTTGTAGTTTCATTCAGACTACTTGTGTACAAGGTTATGTAGTGGTTCGATGGTCAGTGGGGACTACACCCTTCTGTTTATACAACATTGAGTTCCCTTGGAACAAGAATGCTCCAGTCAAAATCCCATAATTCATACTGAAGGTGTATGATTTTCAAGATTGATTTACTGTTATTTCCCCTTCAGGCTTACCTCTTTACCAACAGGGCAGACATACCCTACCTGTCCTCTTTTCCAAAGGAAGCCCCAGATCAAATTCAGTTAAAATCCATTACTGATACTGAACAAGGGTTTGTATCCCCTATTGCCCAACAAAGTTCAATCCAAATCACATTTAGTCAAGATCTGCACTAGCAGCATTTTAAAGGAAAAGCTGTCAGATGGATGATGCATGATAACAAGAGTCCTATAGGGCCTGTATCGCTCACCTGTTTCTTTCGTTACATGAAACTGACAAATAGGTAACTTCAGACCAAACTTGGTAACTAGAACACTAGACATTTTAACATCTCTTAAACGGTTGTTAAGATATTGTTGTTTGAAATTTGAAATTTGTATTTTAAAGCTTTTAACCCACATTGACGTTTGACTTAGGATAGCACTTAAAGTTGACCATTGACCTCATTACTGTAATAAATAAAATGATTAACAAAGCTGGCCTACATAACAAACCCTAGTATCATGACTCTAGACCAAATGGTTCTGAAGGTGTTGTTGTTTGAAGTTTTAAACATATTTGACCCTTGTGACCTTGAAACTAGGTCAAGGTCATTTTAACGAGGAAACTTTATAGCACTCAATCCCAGGTACCTATTGGCCAAATATCATGACCCTAGGTCCTCCAGTTCTTCAAAAGAAGTCATTCAAAAGAAAAAGTTGACGGACGGATGACTGACGGAAGCCACAGTTTGGCCTGAAGGGCCATGTGAGCTAAAAATGTTCTGGTTCTGTTTTCAATTTCATCTTTTTAATTTTTTCCCACGAGTCAAAATAGTAAAGTATTGCTTTCTCTTACCCTATGCTCCACCAGTTTACATTTTCAATACTGATCCATTGAAAATAATATCATTTGGTCAATTATATGAGTGAAATGATTTTGTCTCTGTCAAAAATGGCTGTAAAACTATGGCAGTGAAAGATACCCTTTTCTGGGAACAATCTATATTCCTTTTGGCATATCTTGCAACTATTTTTCTATAAACACAGAGTTACTGTATTGTAGTATACTTAAGCAGGAAATGCTTTCCATCTCAAATGTTTATGTGTCTATATGCTTGTCATGTGACTTCTCCAATAAGATTGGACATAGAAAATACTCATGATTATTTATTATAAATGTTTTATTATCTATATAAAAGACTGAACAAGGATTCAATCTTCTAACATTAAGCACCATGTACTTCATTCCAAACATTCTTCTGTGAATACAGTCATAGGATTCATATACTCAGTCCTGCACACATTCAATGTTCAATACATAACATACCTGGGACATTACATATTCAATACATAACATACCAGAGACATAACATACCTGTGACATAACATATCCATTTTTGGAAATTTTTCGTTTTTCAATATTTCAAAAGAAAAATAGATAATAAGATAGTAGCTTTTATTACAAACTTACTAATAAATACGGGTTTTTTGTATATGCGATACGATACAATTGCTTTAACCCATATCAGCCCTAGCCGTATCACACCCCAAAACCTGTATCAGCCCCCGCCGTATCACACCCCAAAACCTGTATCAGCCCGCAAAACCCATATCCCTCCCCTTTTGGATTTTTTTTCGTTTTTCAATATTCCAAAAATAAAAATAAATCATAAGATAGTAGTTTTTATTAGTAATTATGTAATAAACAGAATAAAACACGCCCTTTTCCATATCACACCCAGTATCAACCCTCGACCAATATCAGCCCTCGGGCCTTCGGCCCTTGGGCTGATATTCCAGTCTCGGGTTGATACTGGATGTGATAGGGAAAAAGGCATGTATTATTCTCTATATAACATATCTGGGACATTACATATTCAATACATAACATACCTGGGACATTACATATTCATTACGTAACATAACTGGGACATTACATATTCAACACATAACACACCTGGGACATTACATATTCAACACATAACATACCTGGGACATCACATATTCATTATATGACATACCTTGGACATAAGATATTCATTACATACTACAGTTGTATGACCGCACAACGCACCAAAAATAGGGTGTGCACATTGTACATACACTGTGCACCCACTGTCAGTGCATCGTCCAGACATGGTGCAAAAAACTGTGTTCGCCACGTTGTGCGCTGCTCTCTGCACAAATGTGCTATTTGGTACAATTGGTTGATCAATATTACTGAATGAAAAAAATATACGGAACCCTCGTGTGGAATAGGAACACTGTTCATATAAATTTCTCATCAAATTAATTAGGATAATGTTGAATTTTACAATGCCTGTTACACAGCATTTATAGTGACCGTTAGACTGTCTAGATGGGTTTGGCTCCCAGGTAACAGAAAAAGTAAATAACATTATGATGATTGACATGGGATTCCATATGACTGTTGTGAAAACAAAACTGGACGTTACATATTTGTTATTTGCATTTATTTTGGTCTATACTGTAGCCCCCCTTCACCTGGATGTTCACACCTTGGCGAGTAACGTAAGTGCCTGGGTGGGAAAAACTACGGTCCAGGTACAAGGACAAAGTGGCTATGTTTACCTGTACATGGAAACGTGTCCATATTTGTTATTTTACATGTGTCGATTTTGGTTGCTTAAAAAACATTGAAAACATTAATTCTAAATTGAAGAAAATAGATAGAAAGATCAGCTTATATAGGTACATGTAGCTAGAATATAGAAATATATACTTAAAAATCAAGTGAATAGGTGTAAACACAAAACCGTATATATTATTAAGCCATTTCTCAATTTACACCACAGTTGTCATCGCACAACATTCGTCCATCGTCTGCACAAATATTCGCAAGCAATAATTGTCTAGATTTTTATCATTAGCTCATTGTGCACACCTGTGCAAACATTCTGTGCACATCGTGCGTGCGCACACTGCACATTGTGTAACGTTGTGTGATCCCACAACTGTACCTACCTGTACTTAGTCTATCATAAACAACACTGTACTACCATCACATTCCATTATATCCAACATTTGTCCAACTACTTCACTCATACACCACTCTCAGGTATTAATAACAGAGCAAAAATAAAGGTGAAAATATCATATCTGACCTTCCAGAAATACAGTTATAAATTCAGTACATAACTTCTACACCACAGATCTTGTACACGTCTTTATCAGCTACTCAGCATACCAATAACTATATAATCATATATTTACATTTGTGCTGCAACCCATTATATGAACATTACCAGCAGAAATACATTTCATTTGAGAATGAAAGCAATGTCATAGATAAACCTTGTTCAATGAGTGTCTTGTCGCTTCGCTTCGGATGACATGGAGAATGCCCCTGTGTCAAACGCTCAAATGACTACGGTTAATTATTGGTGCCAATTTTAGTTAAATAGGGCTTTTCTGCCAATGTCGTTTTAAGGATGACGCATATTCAAAATGCAGTAAAGAAGAAAAATGTTTTAAGAACAAATAAATAAAGTTTAACAATTGTTCTATAGTAAAAATGTAAATATTTAGAATGAATGGCGTTACTTTTAATTTTCATGCCGGTATGAACACAAATTGGCTACATCCATAAAACTCATCCGGATAGGTATCTTATGGGGATGAAAATTTTATAGGACACCGGCATGATAATAAAAATAAACGCCGCTCAGTCACTACATAATAAAAATCCTCACATGCACTTTCCATAGTCAACATGTGTAATAACAAACTAACTGAGTTTCAGGTTGAGTAACAAAACCCATTGTGAGGTGAAATGATGTCGTGAATTCACAATGAAAGTACTTTTTTAATGAATGGCTGTGTAATAAAACAAAATAAAAAAATACATGTTCTGAGAAAACAGAATGTCACAGAACTGCTGTTATCTAAAACTGTCTTCCCACTGAAATTTGGTAATTAAAAACTGTTAAAGTCCCGTCTAACCACTACTGGAGAAACAAATTGATACACTACAATTTAAATCGATTGAATATATAATATTTTATCTTCATGATGAAATAAGTCATTCAACAGCATAACATACTAGGTAATATGCCCATCAACATAACAGCTGTATACACGTATGTGTTTACATTTGTTTAAGTTACATTCAGCTGAGAGCAGATGATTTTTATAAGTTTTCATGTCAGAATATAATCTTTGCGTATAATAGCTCTTAGCAGCAAACAAGATAATCAAAGGCAAGATATCAAACCAATGGCAAGATGTGTATTATTGTTTGAATAGGCCCATCGGCTTTAACATGAATATGAAGTGGAAACAATTGTTTACACAAAACAAGACAGTTTTGTTACCAATCATGGGAGCAACAAAACACACTAAAATATATCATTTTAGTAATGAGAAATAATATTTTTTTGTCTTTTTCTCTAAATGGGTAAATTTAGGAAAAGAGGTCCCATGTGCTCCAATGACCAAACAATAAGGCTGTAGACATAACAGTTCACATTACTATGATCTGAGGCTGTAGACATAACAGTTCACATTACTATGACCTGAGGCTGTAGACATAACAGTTCACATTACTATGACCTGAGGCTGTAGACATAACAGTTCACATTACTATGACCTGAGGCTGTAGACATAACAGTTCACATTACTATGACCTGAGGCTGTAGACATAACAGTTCACATTACTATGACCTGAGGCTGTAGACATAACAGTTCACATTACTATGACCTGAGGCTGTAGACATAACAGTTCACATTACTATGACCTGAGGCTGTAGACATAACAGTTCACATTACTATGACCTGAGGCTGTAGACATAACAGTTCACATTACTATGACCTGAGGCTGTAGACATAACAGTTCACATTACTATGACCTGAGGCTGTAGACATAACAGTTCACATTACTATGACCTGAGGCTGTAGACATAACAGTTCACATTACTATGACCTGAGGCTGTAGACATAACAGTTCACATTACTATGACCTGAGGCTGCAGGCATAACAGTTCACATTACTATGACCTTCATAAACCTCAAAAATCATGCTTGCAATTTGTTTACAGAATAGAGATACCAAAAACATTGTTTCCATGCAAACTATACTATCCCCCCCTCCAAACTATACTATACCCCTCCAAACTATACTATCCCCCCTCCAAACTACACTATCCCCCCTCCAAACTATACTATCCCCCTCCAAACTATACTATCCCCTCTCCAAACTATATACTATTTCCCTCCAAACTACATTATTGAATTTTTGATCAAAAGTGAAAAATGACAACACTGTCAAGACCCAGGAATCTCTACCAAATTTAGTTGAATTGTCTTATTAGAACTTGAGTTTTAGTTCAAACTAGAATTTCAAGATGGCAGCCAAGGCAACCAAATTGGATTTCTCACCCACCTGAAAAATAACATTTCGTCAGGACTATGTATAGAACATTGCAATGATCAAAATGGCTTTTGAAGAAGGCTGATGCGGCACCTAGTCAGAATCATGTTATATTTGAACTTTACATTGAAAATGTAAATTTTGAACATATGACGCACTGTGGAAAGAGGTCAAGATGAATCACAATATATCACATTATAGCACAGCTTACATGCTATAGTCCACTACATCACATTAAAACACATTTGTTATACATACAATAACACATCATAACACATCATAACACATTATAACACAATATAACACCAGAATATATATCTCATTCAATAATTTCACAGCAAAATCAAACTTGTCTCTCCCCAGAAAGACGAAAGATCAACTACAATTCTGATTTTTCATTATGCAACATATAGTGCCACAAAACATGTACAATGAATAAAAATATCAAAGGAAAATCCTTTTGTTTGGCATACAACTTAAACCCTGTGTAGTTAATAACAAGTGATTTGACTAAAATAATTCTTTTTGTAAAAAGATTGTCAAGTTACTTCGGAGATGACAATCCAGTGTCATCTTGTAGTAGTAAAACAGTTTTTGTGACTTACAGATATAAAACTTCAACAAAATCTGTACACTTTGTTTTGACAATGAAATTAACCCAGCAGTTCTTTGTTACGAGGGATTGTATCTGTTCTCTATTTCCAGGCCATCTTAAAGGCCAGCACCAGGTCCAGAGTAAGGTCGCTGACATGGAGAACCTGTAAGAAAACAGTTCATTGATTATACTATTTTGTTACTACCCAAGGGTATTTGCTATTAGTACCACCGTTCATTACAGCAAAAAAATATGGATTATTTTTTTGCAGCAGAGAATATTTCCAATATGTGCTACAAATTTAGACAAATCACTTTCCTAACCAGATTTGAAATACATATAATTGTTAATGAAATATAGGCTAGCTTCTGCATCAAATTTCGAATAATTTAATTTTTGTTTTGTTTTTGTTTAATGGGTATCTTTAAAATTTCTTTGAATTTAGATATATATTTTGTTTATTTTTGAATTTACTAATGTGGGAAATTTAGAATTTTTAATTGTCATCTACCAGTGTTACAATGTATGGTAATTAAAATGTTAATGTCTAACAGTATTTATGGCACATTAATGATACTGATGTAAACAGTTATAACCAGAATCACATTTTCTCTGTCTGATCAATGTCATCTTTAGATCTGGAATCCTGTGATTGGAATTACCAATCAATGTTATTTCATATGGGTAAATAAGTTTATAATGAACATTATACCTACACCAAATGATCTACAGGTACTCTATACCAGCTGTTATTATATTGTTTAGAAACATGATTTTCAGCATTTATAGATTTCTGTAAGTGTCACAAAATCAGGCCACACTCCTAATTTTCTGTGTAATGACCAATTTAGCTACCGTAAAAACCCATGTAATTTGCGCACATATGTAATTTGCGCAGGTAACTTTTTGCGGCTGAAAATCCCCCAAAAAGCTTCTACTCAATTATTTTGCGCACCAATTCTTTTTGGAAAAAACCTGATGTTCAAGTTCTGAAAATCGATCTCTGAAAATGAAAGACAAACCGCTTGGGATTCTTAGGATTTTTGTAATTTGTTTATTATAAGTGAGTTCATAAGTATTGTTTACAGGTACAATGATGTTGAAACTAAGAAGAAACTGTGTAAAATGTGTATTTTGTTGTTTGTTTCCTTTGAAATATCTGATCACATGACACACACGTGTGCACATATCGGCATACATCAATTCATTTTAGAAATATTTTACATCAAACATTTATTTGCTTACAAAAACAGTATAATGATAAGGTGTATAACATCGTTTCATTAATGTCCATTGAACATTTTTAAGGGAGATAATACTTACACTAATCACAGATAAAATGGATAAATTTGCAAAAGTTATGATACAATCACTTCGCAAAATATTTATATTTTCCCACTTTAGTAAACACAATTTGAGAGTTTAGAAATCCTTTGGCAATAACTGACCTTGTAGTTGTGGTCGTAAGTGTTTTTTACAGTCTGTCCATTGACTGTGACTGATGTTGGGTTCTGTGTCACACCATAGACTGTTATGCTACCCCAGGTCGCAGACGTCAAGTAACCATTATGCAATATCTGGCTCTGTAAAACTTGCTGAAATATGAAGTTGTTTTGATTTTACCGTATTTTAATTGAAAAGTTAAAGATGTATTGATGACCGATGCTGAACCCAACATAAGCTCATGCACTCGGCATTTCAGGGAAGATAACATTCCAACCATATTATTGTGCCCAATCCTTTTTGTCATTTTCAAGGCAATAAAAATATGTTTAAACCAACCATGTTATTTCTAAATCTGTAGTATATTTTATAACTAACTTCTGCTTCATTTCAAAATTGTTTCACATAATCCTAACACATGTTTAAATTGTTGTTATTTGGTATTTGTCTCTTTATGCAAACTATATATGTGGTCATAGTGGAAATCTCAGTACTTTTTTTAAGAAGTACAGACATTCCTGTATTGGGGCCCTACCCATCCAGCTCCAGGGTTTAAACTAACTTCATCTATACAAGATATGATAACATGATGGCTGTTCAGGTGGAAAAGTGATTTGAAGCAAACATGCCCCAAAATCCATTTTAGGCCCCACCAATCTGGCCTAATTTGTCAAATTGAACTTATCAAACTCATTTAGACAAAATATGATAATCGATCAAAAATATGGTCACCTTGTCTAGGTGATGTTTCAGACCCTATAAGGTAATGATCTGTGCAGTTCTTTGGGATGGGTAGGCTAAATTTGAAGAAAAAAAATTGCATTGTTTTTAGCCCCTCCTAAATGGGCTACAACTTTAATGTGCTCAACATTTGATTCCCATGTCCTATCGTTTTATACTAGATTAAGCTAAAATCCATTAAACATTTCAGGAGGAGTAGTCTTTTGAAAACTCACAACACCACTTTTCTTTGGCCCGGGCTTCAGTCCTCAGGGACACCTCAACCTTCTGTTATACAAAGTAACTGTTTGATGTCCTATATCATAGCATCATATCAAATTTGGTGGAACAATTAGTTGTTCTAGAGGAGTATGCATTTAAAGGAAACCAATGATGGATGGCAGACAATTGTAGTGCCACAGCATAACCTCACCTGTCCTTTGGACCTATGGTGAGCTCAAGTACTACCTCAATTTGGTTTAACCGAATTAATAACTTCACTTGTTTACATACCTTTCCAGCTTGAAACTGCATCGTGATATACTTTTCAGATGTATAGGTTCCTGCAAAAATTAAATAATGGTCTTAATCCACCAGTAAATTTTCATAGAAGATGTTATTTTAATATTTTGCACTTTTAAGTGACCACTAGTAATATGGCACCATCTCTAAGACCCCTGGGGTCAACCCCTTGTAGGGTATAGATTCTGATCTTCATCATCTAAGGATCACTTTGAGAAATGATGGTAAAACTCCAGTGGTATCTTATAATACTAATGTCGTTTCTAATTTTTGTTATTTTTTTTCAACTTTAAAACCTACAATAATATCTCGTTTTGTCTTATGTTGCATGGCAATCAATTCAAACTAAACAGCTTGTACATGAAACACCAGTCTCATGTCTGTTCTTATATCATGTGTTTTGGTCGACTTTACTTAAAATTTTTGGAAATTGGCACCTCAACTTAACCTGAACTTTGTGTCATAGATACAACAATATCTCTAGAGTTGGTGCTGTATTCTCGTAACATTCCTCACTCACAATCTTACCTATTGTGTCTCCATCGTCCCAGAACAAGCTTCCCTGTGCCTCTCCCTTCTCGTTCAGAGCCACCAGCAGACTAAAGGGGTTCTTTCGGCTGTATCATAAAAATGTTTCAGAAAATCACTTTGGAAAGACTAACAGTATGTTAGAATAAAAGACATTATCCTAAAAAACGATTTTATCTACAGTTATAAATAGTTAAAACATCATTGACTGGTTTTTATCTACAGCTATAAATAGTTAAAACATCATTGACGGGTTTTTATCTACAGCTATAAATAGTTAAAACATCATTGACAGGTTTTTCAAGTGCTTGTATTTTGCATGATGTTGATTAGCTGCAATCTCGTTTGATTCAACTTGATATTTGAATTACCAGTTAGATTTGTATCCCAGTATCCATAGGTTATCTACAGTTGCTGTGGTTAGATATATTGTTATTTAACTTGATATTTGAATTACCAGTTAGATATGTATCCCAGTATCCATAGACTATCTACAGTTGCTGTGGTTAGATATATTGTGTTTAAGAGAAATCAACAAGGACTCAAGTTACCTGTCTGTTGTAGTCAAGGCAGGTTCCTGCATGGGAAGGATGTACCCTTCCCTCACGTGTAGGTTGATCTGGTTGATGGGAGCAGGCAGGTTCTGTACACTACCAGTAGTATAGTTATGGCGACCGTTGTAGAAGTCGTACCATCTAAACCCCGGGAAATATATGTCGACAGTTGTGGCATCCTGAATTAAATTTAATTGTATTTTATGGAATTGGGACTTGCATTTATAGTGACTAAGTGAATATTGATGTATAGAACCCTGGGAAGTCATGGCAGACATCATGTAATGTGTACACCTGTATACCAGGCTAGTAAAAATCTTGTTTCATTGCCATCATCCAACAATGTTTCAGCTTCATAAACAGGTTTGGTAATACATTTCCTTTTTCATTAACAATTAAAGAAGCATTCAATATTGAAGTTTTTGCTGTACAGATGGACTCCCATTTCCTAGAACTCAAACTACCAGACCCCTGAAGACTTTAAGTCCATCTGGTATGAGAGCCACACTATTGTCAGTAATGACATTTAAGTAAGTTGTACTATTAGTTGTGATGTAGTGTTTAAGAATACCAGGATAGTCATTTACCAACACTGTGTAACTCTCTTGTTTACGTCTTACCTTTGTAAGGACTGGTGAAATCATTAGTGCCTCACCCCACAAGAACTGGCGATCAATACTATAAGTCTTCTCATCTTCTGGAAACCTTAAACACAGAAGTTTGATTGTTGTAAACAAACGCCCATGGCGTTTAGACAGATTGTACTTAAACTCCATCGGATCTATCACTATAACACAGTCTGATCTATCACTATATCACAGTCTGGTCTATCACTATATCACAGTCTGATCTATCACTATAACAGCCTGATCTATCACTATATTACAGTCTGATCTATCATTATATCAGTCTGATCTATCACTATAACACAGTCTGATCTATCACTATATCACAGTCTGATCTATCACTATAACACAGTCTGATCTATCACTATATCACAGTCTGATCTATCACTATATCACAGTCTGATCTATCACTATAACACAGTCATCAACTGGGTTTGGTCAGCAGTCAGACCTTTGTTTACAATTAGTCCTTGAAGTCTGACAAAGAAGAGTTCAAGCATAAATGCAGAAATATTAGAGATGTGCTTTCAGAGAGTTTGCAACAAGGATATTGGGACAATTTATACCCCTAGCTAGAAGTATTTGTGTCAGATAAGGTTTTTGTCCTTTTCAACAGAATTGAGGGAGTCTCTGATTACTTGACATATAACACAAACATTCACTAAATACATATAAATTGTGGCAGTTTTAAGGTTTTACTGTTTAAAGTTTCTGTCATTATAACTATAATCTCATCAAACTTATTAAAATTTGTATTTACTCACTCAAAGAACAGTGGTCTGGCAACGGTGTGTCCCATCTGGTGACTTTTGTGGAAAAGAGTGTAGAGGTAGGGAAGTAAGGAGTAGCGTACCAGGTACACTGACTTAATAGCCATCACAGCATTATGGCTGAAGGCAGCCGGATCCTGGTCCTATAGACACAAGTATAAAGTCAAAGGTAAATGTAGTTTGTCAACTGCATCAAAAGGTGCCATACGTTTTGTTTACAAAAACAAAACAAAAATGAAAAATAGTTATATCTATGTAGCTAAAGCAAAATGCTACATGTGTTTGGTAAATGTTTTTTTAACTTGAATTTTATCAATACAATGTGCATACTTAGTAGTTTACAAGATACAACATGGACAAGACGTTACTGAAAATTTTGCACCCATTTGACCTCTGAGCAAGAGGTGAATGTACAGCGACATAGTTACAATGTAGTATCGTGCACTGCCCACCTTATGTAGGTGATATAGGTACACTAACGGTTCATCCAGATATCTTAAATGATTAAGAATCATGGCCTAGACAAGATTTATTAGTAAAACCAGAACAATGACCACTACTAAGTACAATATGTTTCCACTTTCATTTGAAAGCGAAATTAATATAGTGTGTCTTCAACAGCAAAAGGGAGACAAAGGATATGCCTTAAAAGGAGAATCCGTACTGACTCTAGAGTCAATGACATCAGTTGTAAAGGAGAATCTGTACGGACTCTAGAGTCAATGACGTCAGTTGTAAAGGAGAATCCGTACTGCCTCTAGCGTCAATGACGTCTGTTGTAAAGTAGAATCCGTACTGACTCTAGAGTCAATGACGACAGTTGTAAAGGAGAATCCGTACTGACTCTAGGGTCAAGGACGGCAGTTGAAAAGGAGAATCCGTACTGACTCTAGAGTCAATGACGTAAGTTGTAAAGGAGAATCCGTACTGACTATAGAGTCAATGACGTCAGTTGTAAAGGAGAATCCGTAATGACTCTAGAGTCAATGACATCAGTTGTAAAGGAGAAACCGTACTGACTCTAGAGTCAATGACGTCAGTGGTAAAGGAGAATCCGTACTGACTCTAGAGTCTATGACGTCAGTTGTAAAGGAGAATCCGTACTGAGTCTAGACTCAATGACGTCAGTTGTAAAGGAGAATCCGTAATGACTCTAGAGTCAATGACATCAGTTGTAAAGGAGAAACCGTACTGACTCTAGAGTCAATGACGTCAGTTGTTCTTAAGAAAAAATCAAAATTTTTTCAGCCAGTCCGAGACAAAAGCAGCCATCTTTGATTTCAGACTTTTTTTTTTTAAACATATTTTTATTGTCGTAAATGAGGACAATTAGGATTGAGCACAAGTTTTGCCAACTTAGAAACACCCTTTCCTACATCATGTTGTATAATACATAATGGACAGCAGCAAATTAATTTTATCCGTCTTCACTGCTCGGCCATTGTTCTTCTCATCACACACAGTATTATACTCACCTTCATTCCTAAAGTGTTGTGGTTACGAGAAAATGGATAGAAAGCTCCAAGTTGATGCCAACGGACACACAATTGTTCATTTGTCTCTGACCGGAAACCACAGATATCAGCCCCAATCATGGAAATTCCAAACATGTTGAAGTTGAGTATTTCTGTTTGGATATAAAAACATTCCAGAATGTTATAGATAATTTTAACATTAGAACAAAATATCAGCAACTCAAGCAACATTCTGCTCTACAAGGATTTTGTTAAAGTGGCCTCAGTTTTAAAAGCTAAAATTATGTGTGGCCCCTCACCTGGTATACAGTTTCTAAAACAATGGTGATATGTAGCTCTAATATTATGTGTGGCCCTTCACCTGGTATACAGTTTCTAAAACAATGGTGATATGTAGCTCTAATATTATTTGTATTGCCCTTAACCTGGTATAGAATAGTATCACTGTCCCTATAGGGTAACCATAGTGATATATAGCTCCCATAGTTATCTGTTTGGCCCTTTCCTGGTATCGAGTTGTCCTGCTGTCCCTCTTGTGTAAAAACAGTGTTAGCTCTAACAGTTATTGTGTGTGGCCGCTCACCTGGTATAGAGAAGTACATGTCACTGTATGTAGCATCATTGTCTCCTGACCAATGACCTCCAAATTGACCTTGACCGGGGAAGGTTGACCTGGATATTATGAAAGGTCTCTTCCCGCGTACAAGTTGTAGAGCTCTGTAAATTACAAATGTTTCATTATTAAATGCATGTTTTCATTGCGTTTTTATATATAAAACAACGGAATATGTTAGATGAGTGTTAAATCTCCAGCATGGGAGATATTTCAGTGATCCAGTGACAAGATGTGGATATCTCATGTCTATTTGGACTTGCTGGTATTTTGTCATGATCTTTAGGTAACTTACTGCTACATCGCCGAAGTTTAAGTGGGTTTTACCTGTACATTGCTATGGTTGTGATGGAAACGTCTGTCATGATGCTATGGTCCCTAGGCCTGTTGACTTAACATGCACACTGTTATGGTCTCTGTGCTTACTCCTAGGGACTCTGTGGGACTAACTCTTATGTTGCCATGGCCGCTGTGGGACTAGCTTGTATGTTGGAATGGTCTCTGTGGGACTTTCTTGTATGTTCGAATGGTCTCTGTGGGACTTACTTGTATGTTGCCATGGTCTCTGTGGGACTTTCTTGGATGTTGGAATGGTCTCTGTGGGACAAACTTGTATGTTGCCATGGTCTCAGTGGGACTTACTTGTATGTTGCAATGGTCTCTGTGGGACTTACTTGGATGTTGGAATGGTCTCAGTGGGACATACTTGTATGTTGCCATGGTCTCTGTGGGCCTTTCTTGGATGTTGGAATGGTCTCTGTGGGACAAACTTGTATGTTGCCATGGTCTCAGTGGGACTTACTTGTATGTTGCCATGGTCTCAGTGGCACTTACTTGTATGCTGCCATGGTCTCTGTGGGACTTACTTGTATGTTGCCATGGTCTCAGTGGGACTTACTTGTATGGTGCTATGGTCTCAGTGGGACTTACCTGTATGTTGCCATGGTCTCAGTGGGACTTACTTGTATGTTGCCATGGTCTCTGTGGGACTTACTTGTATGTTGCCATGGTCTCAGTGGGCTTACTTGTATGTTGCCATGGTCTCAGTGGGACTTACTTGTATGTTGCCATGGTCTCAGTGGGACTTACTTGTATGTTGCCATGGTCTCTGTGAGGCCATACAGATTGTGAGTGTTGTAACACACTGACAAGTTCTGCCTTGCCGAGGCACACAATGTGTTGAATCGTAGAGATCCTCCTTCCACAGCTGTAAAAATATACCCCAAAATTAAATGCTACATGTTCATGATTTCCTCTTCATTATTTGTATGAAAACTGTAATATTTTGTATCTTTCATACATATGTAGGTTATGAACGTTAGACACTTATGACTTTGAAAGTTGGTCAAGGTATTCATTTGAACAAAATTGGTAGCCCTTCCCACCAGCATTCTGCTGGCCATATATTATAGAAATGGGCTTTTTTGTAACTGAAAAGAAGTTGTTTAACTTTTTCAACATATTTAACCCCTGCGATCTTGAAATTGTGTCAAGGTCATTTGTTGGAACAAATTTGGTAATCTGAAGCTAGATGGACAAGAGACAGTGATGGATGCTGTACCACAGCATAAGCTTGCTTGGTCCTTCAGGCCAGGTGAGGTAACAGTAATTAATAAATAATAAAATGATAACATTTTTTACCTGGCAGATAGGGAGGATTCTCCAGAGATGAGTTGGAGGGACATCCAGATAATGAGCCAGCAACAAAATTGGATATTTCATTCATATCCTAAAAAAGGAACAGAGTGTTCAAAGATGTGGTATGAATAACAGATTTTTTTTATTGAAATTCAATCTGCTATATCACAAATGATAATCTTTACTGATAACGAAAATATTTTTTGAGTATTTTTATCATGAATATTACTTACACAAGGTGTACATGTCCTAATTCAAATGAAACAAAGAAAAATCAGTTCCAAATTAATTGTAAATAAAATGGAAAAAATCTGCAACATTGATATATCACTTCTGATTTTAAAAGAAGAGGAATTAACTGAAGGCATAAAAAGGTCATTTATAATGAATGAACGGTACTTGGCTATTGAACAATTTAAATAAAGATCTTTTCATGTTTGACATTGTTTTGGGCAAAACCCCCCCAACTAAAATGACCCTCCCGGCACAAGAAGATTAGAGTACGTACAATCCATATCCCGTCAAATGGAACGTTGTCGTGGAATTCCCTGATCAGTGAGGTCCAGTACTGGGCTGCTAAAGGATGAGTGAAGTCTGGGAATACAGTGTTACCTGGCCACACCTGCAAATAAAGGTTCATCAGGGTAAAGAAGAGGGGTTAATCAATACAGATAATATATTTTATCAGGTTTCATCCAAGGATACAAATAACTGTCTTATGTCAGAAAACAAAGGGTTTCATCTTTAAAGGAAATAAACAAAGGGTTATACTAAGGTCCCAAAAAGAGTAATTCATAAACAATAACAAACACAGATTTTGAAGATTTACGAATGTATTAAATCACTAAGTATTTACATTACGAAACTGTTCTACACATAATATAATTTACATAGCATAGCAAACACATACTTAACTAAACAAAACATAGAACAAAATCAAACAAACAAATTGCATTTAGGGCTGTCTTGGCTGCTGCATATAATTACACAATTACCAGCATGAAGGAAGATAAATTCAAGATTCCCTACCAGGTGCAAGCCCTAATCCCATAAACAGGAAAAGACGGTCCTGGTTAAGGGAAATGAGGTAAGTATTAAAGTTTTGAGCTGGTAGACAATGAACAAATGAAGAATTGGAATTGAATGAGCAGGTTTTGGCCAGGCGGGGTCCTGAGTCCTCTTGGAGAACCAGGTGAAAGTCCTGTACAACAAAGACTGATATCATACATAGTTGGGTTACATCGCCAGAGGAGTCCTGAGTCCTACTGAAGAACCAGGCGGAAAATGGTCCTGTACGATGTAAACTGTGTATGACATGTATATGAAATGAATGAAACCCCAATGACTTTGGGGCTAATGGACCCAATTTGGACTATTGGACTTAATAATTAGTGCAGGTATAGACAGACCATGGTGCGCTAGCACAGAACGCAGCAACCAAGACTACCAGAAAAAGAAGAAAAAACTGGAGCGTGGACGGGGATGGTGGTGGCCAATTCGAGCAATGAAAAACACAGGGAGATGTGGACAGGTCAGCTCAGCATCTCTAAGTGAAGCTAAAAATAGCACGCACTAATCAGTATGCATAATGAGAGACCCAGATAGAGGTCATAGTTCATGTAGTTGACTAAGTGTACTGAGCAATGGATACATGCCCATATGTAAGCGACTAAGTAGAATGAATGACTATGAACTTAAGTATTGCAGACACAATTGTTTATAAACAAAGTTTAATAATACTTATTAAACCACAACTAAAGTCACCAAGGGTTACATCAAGGCTATAAATAGTTTCATTGAGGTCATCAAAAGTGACATCAAGGTCACAAGTAGTTTCATCAAGGTCATCAAGGGTTATATCAACGTCACAAATGGTTAAATAAAAGTCATCAATGGTCACATCTAAGGACATAAATAAAAGACTTCATTAAAGGAGGAAGCAGGAAAAGGGGGGGGGGGATGTGTATACCTGATGGTCTCAAAGAAGAGATTTCATCAAGGCTCTAAAACAAGCCTTTTTGTATGAACAACTAATTTCATGATCATCATGGTTGATAGCAGACATGTCAGTAAAAGGACAAGGGGCGTCAAGGGTAAAACCTTTGAGATTTTTCAATGTGTATAGACATAACATCACTAATTTATCAGACTAAAATTTTCAAGAAAAGTTTTTTTACTCTTTTCTTTTTTACGATTGATACCATATTAATCATAAAAAAAGAAATTAATAAAAATATATGATTAAAAACAAATCATGAAAATTTTAGTGTATGCTTGAGCATACAAGCAAACATGTATGCTACGCCATTGTCAGAGTTAGGAAGCATCATTACGTAGCATGCATTGAAGCAATTGGATTACTTAGCCTGACTATTGCCAATATGAATGTGCACACCAAATTTTGTTGAAATCAAAACCCTTTTTACCGAGATTATTGCATCATAAGCAGGGAATAAGTAAAAGATAACTTGAATGGTTACAAGGATGTGTAAATTAAACAACATGTACAGATTACCTTGCCAACAATAGGTTTTCCCGAGCTGTCTTTGATGAAGATGTCCATTTTGATTCCAACATCATAAGGCATGTAGGAGCCAGGCTTTTGTGAGGTACTTATTCCTGGATCCTATAAAACAGTTTAAAAAAACTTTAAAAAGAGATGTTTACAACTACCATTTTGTTTTGAATATTGCAAATGATTTGTAATCAGGTGCGATAAGCAGAGCTGAGAGGCCTAACAGGTCACCCCTATACTGGTGAACAGGTCTCATCCTAGTACATTTACTGGAGAAATATTAACTGATTCCAACACGATACATACAAACAATACATACACATACACACAATACATACACACACAATACATACACACACACAATACATACATACATACATACATACACACACAATACATACACACACACAATACATACACACAATACACACACAATACATACATACATACACACACAATACATACATTCATACACACAATACATACACACACACAATACATACTTACACACAATTCATACACACAATACACACACAATACACACACAATACATACATACATACATACATACACACAATACATACATACATACATACACACACACAATACATACACACAATACATACATACACACAATACATACATACACACAATACATACATACAATACACACACAATACATACACACAATACAAACAATACATACATACACACAATACATACATACATACATACACACACACAATACATACACACAATATATAAATACACACAATACATACATACACACAATACATACACACAATACAAACAATACATACATACACACAACACACACACAATACATACATACATACACACAATACACACACACAATACATATGCATACACACAATACATACACACACAATACATACACACACAATATATACACACAATACATACATACAAACAATACATACACACAATACACACACAATACATACATACACACAATACATACACACAATACATACACACACAATACATACAAACAATACATACACAATATATATATACACAATACACACACAAGACACACACAAGACACACACAATACATACACACAATACATACACACAATACATACACACACAATACATACATACACACAATATACACACAATACATACATACACACAACACACACACAATACATACTACACACACAATACATACATACACACACACAATACATACATACACACAATACATACACACAATACAAACAATACATACATACACACAATACATACATACAAACAATACATACACACAATACATACACAATACATACATACACACAATACATACACACAATACATACACACAATACATACTACACACACAATACATACTACACACACAATACATACTACACACACAATATGTTCACACACAATACATACTTACATATAAACAATACATACACACACAATACATACACACACAATACATACATACAAACAATACATACACACAATACATACACAATACATACATACATACACACAATACATACACACAATACATATGCATACACACAATACATACACACACAATACATACAAACAATACATACACAATATATATACACACAATACACACACAAGACACACACAATACATACACACAATACATACACACAATACATACACACACAATACATACACACAATACACACACAATATATATACACACAATACACACACAATACACACACAATACATACACAAAATACACCCACAATACATACTACACACACAATACATACTACACACACAATACATACATACGATACATACAATATATACACACACAATACATACACACAATACATACACACAATACATACACACAATACATATGCATACACACAATACATACACACACAATACATACAAACAATACATACACAATATATATACACACAATACACACACAAGACACACACAATACATACACACAATAAATACACACAATACATACACACACTATACATACACACAATACACACACAATATATATACACACAAAACACACACAATACACACACAATACATACACACAATACATACACAAAATACACACACAATACATACTACACACACAATACATACTACACACACAATACATACATACAATACACACAAAACATACACACACAATACATACACACAATAAATACACACAATACATACCTACAATACATACACACAATACATACAAAAAAAACCACAATACATACTACACACACAATACATACTACACACACAATACATACAAACGATACATACAATACATACACACAATACATACACACACTAAATACACACAATACATACACACAATACATACACACAATACATACACAATACATACATACACACAATACATACACACAATACATACAAACGATACATACTACACACAATATATATTCACACACAAAACATACTAACATACAAACACACATTACATAATATTTACATTCTGTATGCTTAGACCCATTGACAAAAATTACATTCATAAATGCATAACACAGGTGTTCATAGAATCTCAGCACGTGGGAACTGATAGTAACCTGATCACACTGCGTAGTAATACACTACAAAAACTACTCACTCGGAACGACCGAACTAGATGCTTAATTCTTACATCTTAAAATATTATTGAACTGTGCTTTGTGAAATATCCACGTATTCACGTGTCCTGTGCTACAAATAAACATTGAATATGGAACTACATTTTGTTGTGTTATTGTTGTTGACGGTTGCTAAGATCTCTCACGATAGTGTCACATTTCCCCGCGAAAAAACCCTGTTCTCGCCACTGCGTTGCACCCGTGTATAAGCAGGAACAAACCCTGTTTATTTGTTTTATTCGTTGTTATATCGATCCACTGAAAGGATTCGTCAATGTAACACAATACATACACACAATACATACACACAATACATACTTACATATAAACAATACATACACACACAATACATACATACACACACAATACATACACACACAATACATACACACACACAATACATACTTCCACACAATTCATACACACAATACACACACAATACACACACAATACATACAAACAAGACATACAAACAATACATACACACAATACATACACACACTAAATACACACAATACATACACACAATACATACACAAAATACACACACAATACATACTACACACACAATATGTTCACACACAATACATACTTACATATAAACAATACATACACACACAATACACACATACACACAATACATACATACACACAATACACAAACAATACATACATACACACAACACACACACAATACATACTACACACACAAAACATACTACACACACAATATGTTCACACACAATACATACTTACATATAAACAATACATACACACAATACATACACACACTATACATACACACAATACATACACACACAATACATACCTACACACAATACACACACAATACATACATACACACAACACACACACAATACATACTACACACACAAAACATACTACACACACAATATGTTCACACACAATACATACTTACATATAAACAATACATACACACACAATACACACATACACACAATACATACATACACACAATACACACACAATACATACACACAATACACACACAATATATATACACACAATACACACACAAGACACACACAATACATACACACAATACATACTTACATATAAACAATACATACACACACAATACATACATACAAACAATACATACACACAATACATACAAACAATACATACACTTAATAAATTCACATACAACACACACACACAATACATACACACAATACACACACAATACATACACACAATACATACTTACATATAAACAATACATACACACACAATACACACATACACACAATACATACATACACACAATACATACACACAATACAAACAATACATACATACACACAACACACACACAATACATACTACACACACAAAACATACTACACACACAATATGTTCACACACAATACATACTTACATATAAACAATACATACACACACAATTCATACACACACAATACATACATACAAACAATACATACACACAACACACACACAATACATACTACACACACAAAACATACTACACACACAATATGTTCACACACAATACATACTTACATATAAACAATACATACACACACAATACATACACACAATACATACTACACACACAATACATACATACAATACACACAAAACATACACACACAATACATACACACACTAAATACACACAATACATACCTACAATACATACACACAATACATACAAAAAAACCCACAATACATACTACACACACAATACATACTACACACACAATACATACAAACGATACATACTACACACAATATATAGTCACACACAAAACATACTTACATACAAACACACACTACATACACACAATACACACAATACATACACACAATACATACCAACGATACATACTACACACAATATATATTCACACACAAAACATACTTACATACAAACACACACTACATACACACAATGCATGCACACAATACATACATACAATACATACACACAATACATACACACACAATACATACATACACACACAACACATACACACATACATACACACAATACATACACACAATACATACAAACGATACATACTACACACAATATATATTCACACACAATACATACTTACATACAAACAATACATACACACACAATACATACATACACACAATACATACACACAATACATACACACACAATACATACATACACACAATACACACACAATACATACATACATACACACAATACATATGCATACACACAATACATACAAACAATACATACACAATATATATACACACAATACACACACAAGACACACACAATACATACACACAATACATACACACACAATACATACACACGATACATACTACACACAATATATATTCACACACAAAACATACTTATATACAAACACACACTACATACACACAATACATGCACACAATACATACATACAATACATACACACAATACATACACACACAATACATACACACAATACATACACACAACACATACATACAATACATACACACAATACATACACACACAATACATACACACACAATACATACATACAAACAATACATACACACAATACATACACAATACATACATACATACATACACACAATACATACACACAATACATACATACACACAATACATACACACAATACATACACACAATTCATATGCATACACACAATACATACACACACAATACATACAAACAATACATACACAATATATATACACACAATACACACACAAGACACACACAATACATACACACAATACATACACACACAATACATACACACAATACACACACAATATATATACACACAATNTACATACACACACTACATACACACACTACATACACACAATACATACACATACACACAATACACACAAACAATACATACAAACAATACATACAAACAATACACACACACAATACATACACACAAAGAAAACATACAAACAATAAATACACACAATACATACACACACACAATACATTAAAACAATACATACATACAAACAATACACACACACACAATACATACAAACAATACATACAAACAATACACACACAATACATACAAACAATACATACATACACACAATGCATGTACATACAAACATTACACACACACAATACATACACACAAACAAAACATACAAACAATACATACACACAATACATACAAACAATACATACACTTAATAAATTCACATACACCACACACACACAATACATACACACAATACACACACACACAATACACACACAATACATACAAACAAGACATACAAACAAGACATACTAGTATCATGATGTAGTGCATTCCCCGCTTGTGAAGATTGTCCACCATGGTGCTTTGGTCACCAAACTTTGGTCCAGTGGTGAAGTCTAGCTTCCTGTCCATGTAGTCAATGTCGTTCCACTGGACATCCTGTACCAAACAATGGTAAGTGATGTATTTGTTTTGAAAATTAGGATGTAAACTGTAAGCTATCGACAGTTCCCGTCCAGGGGAATGCCACTGTGTCCAGGGTCAGTTAGAAACATGTTTTGAAAATGTCAAGCTTTGGTTGAACCAAGTCATCGATAAATCCCAAATATTTACAGACTTTGAATTCTACTATCAATATTTAGTAAGGACAAGGGAGTTTATTTTACAACATACATTATGATTGGGTAATCAATAGAGTCAAACACCCAAAATCAGATTCAATCTCACTTCTGACTTTTGTCATTGACATGATTTGTTTGTACAATTAGAAGAATTGACCTTAGTGTACCTGTGGAATCCCCGCTGCTTGAACCCTGTCTGTGATAGCGAGGGTGCCATTAGCTGTCTTATAACCCCACCTACACAGGTGGTATCCAAGGCTCCAGTAGGGCGGCATGAACGATCGCCCTATGACCTCTGTGTACTGCTGAATAACAGCAGCTGGAGACGGCCCAAGGAACACATACATGTCAATAATCCCACCAATGGTACGCCAGGTTATAGCTGGTGCTGGCTGCAGAATTACATCTGTAAGAAGATCAGAAATCTAAAAATCCTAGAACATATCTGTAAGACCTGAATGCCCCCTCGCCTCTGAAGTAAAATGATGATGATGAATTTTATTGAATGTTGACGAAATAGCAATGGTTGAAGCATAAATAGTAGTAGTGATCTTTACAATAACCTACAGGACCGTGAGATACCAACTCATCCAAGGTAATATATATACATTCTCAGGGTGGGATCCTTACTCATGCCCCTATTGCTTCTTTTACACTAAGAACACTACTGTTGCTTTGTTTGTTTTGTTTATTTCGTTTTTATAATTTTAAGTCCTACAAGGTATGTTTAATTTTTCAAAAATGATTTATCAAAGCTATAGTCATGCCAGATGTATCATATCAGTTTTAGGCATTGGTATGAGAATCGTTAAATTAACTGGTACAAATTATGCTTGATTTTTTTTTTATCAAAACTTTGACAAAAGAAGAATTTTTAAATAATTTATAAACGAAACAGAAATAAGACTCGAGCAGAAAATCCATGGTTGAGCATGAGAATGGTTTCATAAATATGGGCCCAGGTAATATATAGCTGCTAAGGTACAACTTCCTGTTCACCAGGGATTATCTCAACGCAGAAAGTAAATCTTGAGCAAGTTCAATGATGGTTCTTAACCAGGATTGTCTGTCTTAATATTCGCTCTAAAAATAGTATGTTTCTTATAGCATAAACTTTACCATGCAGAACTGTATTGGGTTACCAGTCAGAACTGTATTGGGTTACCAGACAGCACTGTATTGGGTTACCAGTAAGTGGTGTATTGGGTTACCCGTCAGCAGTGTACTGGGTTACCGGTCAGTAGTGTATTGGGTTACCAGTCAGTAGTGTATTGGGTTTCCTGTCAGTAGTGTACTGGGTTACCAGTCAGTAGTGTACTGGGTTACCAGTCAGTAGGGTATTGGGGTACCAGTCAGTAGTGTATTGGGTTGCCAGTCAGTAGTGTATTGGGTTACTGGTCAGAACTGTATTGGGTTACCAGTCAGAAGTGTATTGGGTTACCAGTCAGAACTGTATTGGGTTACCAGTCAGTAGGGTATTGGGGTACCAGTCAGTAGTGTATTGGGTTGCCAGTCAGAACTGTATTGGGTTACCAGCCAGTAGTGTATTGGGTTACCAGTCAGAACTGTATTGGGTTATTAGTCAGTAGTGTATTGGGTTACCAGTCAGTAGTGGATTGTGTTACCAGTCAGTAGTGTATTGGGTTACCAGTCAGTAGTGTATTGGGTTACCAGTCAGTAGTGTTCTGGGTTTCCAATCAGTAGTGTACTGGGTTACCAGTCAGTAGTGTATTGGGTTACCAGTCAGTAGTGTATTGGGTTACCAGTCAGTAGTGTATTGGGTTACCAGTCAGAAGGTATCCTCTATTCTAATAGTAAACATAACTAAGGCAGATCGAAAATGACAATAAAGTAAAATAAATAAACAAACAGAAATCATTACCCATAGCATTGCTGTTGGCAAGGAAGACTCCATGGCTCCCCCCATCTCTGCCCTCCATTACAAGGTAAAATGGATGGGAACCATACAGGTTAGTATTTTCCTACAAGTAAAACATCCTTTTCTTTAATCGAGCATCTTCTAAACATCAATAAATTTTAAGTCATCCTTTGTGTTTTACTTAATTTCTAATAGTGGTGATAAAAACAATACATTAATCTGAGATATGTTTAGGTAGCAGTGCAAAGTAGAAATGGCTTGTCCCTAAAAATAAAGGGCATGTCTCAGATAAACATGGATAGTGAATTCAACCTGCACAACACACCTACATATATATACATATTTATAAACAACATTTTGATTTAATTTTGTTTAAAAGACTGATTTTTTCTTTCAAAAACTGTTTTCCTCAGATTTGGGACTTGTGAAAACCATGGTTACCACATCAAAAAACACCAAAATATGCAAAAATCATGATTTTTAACTCAAAATTTGACCCCCGCAAGTAGTAACTTTTTTCTTAAAACCCGTCTGAAATTAAATACCGCCTACTCGGTAACAGAAATACTCACGTTTAAGCATAGGTCATTCCGATGGATTTTTCACAATATTTACACATGTGCTGAGTACAAAAATAGACTACATGAAAAGCTAGCTTTTGTTGTGTAGACACAGATTTGTAAATGCCCAAAACTGTAGTCTCAAACCAAATTCTTTTTTTTTTTCTAAATTATGAAGCCCACATAGTCTACTTCATCATGTATATGCCAATTTTAGTGCTGATTTAAAAAAAAATGTTGATACATGTTATGTTACAGGGGTTATTCATTGTATAAAAAGATCACCCATGGCCATTGTACGCTTCTGTACACTGCTACCTTAAGGGAATCAATCAACCAAACCTGACAGCTATCACAGGAAGGTGACTCAAATCGCTATGAGTCAAACTCGGGACTTCAGATGACTGGTCCAATGCTCCGCAGATTAAACTATAGGAAAATAAGCTCTAGTGAAGTCAGCAGTATGTGGCTACATGGTACTGTGTCGGAAGTATTAATAGACATGTATAAACTCATATGACATACTTTTGGTGGACGGTCCTTGTTCCACATGGTGAACTGTTTCCAGTTTACATCATGAAGTAGACTCCCTCTGTGTTCTCCCAGACCGTAGATATAGTTGGAGGGTAAGAAAGAGGCTAGCTGGATGTACTGGTCACTGAACATGAATGGTGCTGTACGATTGGTCCTTAATCTGTAACACACAGGCACATAATGCTATATATAGTATGAGCGGAGTAAGTGACACATTGGCATCAATGGATGGGCATGGCTACATTTGAAATACGATAATTCATAAAATGTTCCACATGTTTTTCGTTTTTGTTTACTATGACCCCTTTTTTGGTTCAATCTTGATTATTGAAATTAAGAAATGAATACAAACATGTTTACTCATCTTTTACCAATGCATGGGTTGGGAAGTGAAGATCAGAGCACATTACTTATCTCTTACCGTTATTTTTACCATGATTTTGGCAATAAAGAACATTTATCAGTTTGTAAAAACTGTAGGAATTCAAATCAAATCAGTTTCCGTTATGTGAGATAATCCATGGTATTGTTCATTTTTTTCTACAACTGATACATACACGATGACCGGTACTAGACCCGTGGCAGTTTTCCTGACCAGCTGGAAGTTGAATGGTTGCCCCACCTCACTGACGGAGAAGCTGTACAGAGTGTCATTGGTTGTCTGAGTTGATGGGGAGCCATATATCGGAACCTCGTACCTGTTCTTACTGGGGTCAAATATCTGTTACATACAAAACCTGATTCATCAGTGATGTGAAATCTAACTGTATGTATGTCGACGTAATTTATTTCCTACATATCTCATAAAGAGTTGTATGTGGTGAATGTGGTGAAGTTGTGTGTCCAGAAAAACCCTGTTGCTGAAAGTTAAAGTGGGCAACTCCACTGGACATCACATGCAATATCATATAATTAAAAAAAAGTTCTTAGCTCATCTTGATCAAGTTATGCCAGATGTTATGTAAGAATCAATGGTTATTTCTGTCCTATTTGTTTGTATAAAATGGAAATATACCTATTCTATACAGTATATCTAAGTACCTTTTTACACTCAGATGATGCAAGATATTTATATAAATATCGTTACATTCTTAGATAAGGAAAATCTTCATTCACTAGAATTACACAACCATATGGATTAATGGAGCACTGAATTCCTAATTCATTCCCCCAGTCTGAGATTACTCAGATGACATGCTAGTTCACACATACATAACTGATTTTCACGTTGATAATCCAACCTACCTTGATCCTCAGTGTTTGATCCGATCTATAAGTGACATCCATTACAGCTGTCTTGATGTCGTCGGAGTAGTAGGAGTTAGTTTTCCTGGAGATCTGAACCCTGACCCCAGTGGGGCGGTAGTCAACACTGTCCACAATATAACCCGGGTAGCCATCAGGGTAAAAGCACCAGGGAACACCTAGTGGCAGACCTCTAACAGGATGAGATGGTGGTTTTACTTGGGGGTGCCAACAACACCCCCTCGCCTGACATTTGGCTTCAGATACTGATCCTTCTGGATCACAGTCAAATTTCTCACTATCTTTAAAATTACTGCAACTGTCCTTCACTTTCTGTCTATTCTTCAAACTTTGCTTTTGATCAGATAAGTTCTCTGTCAAGTTGGTTTCCACAAGATTTTCAGAACTGCCTTTGTTTAACAAATGAGCTGTGATAACATATGGGCCTGCTTTATCAATGTTGTAGGTGTTACCTTGGAGGGGATTTCCTTGGAGTTGTTGCTGATCATTTTGCAGAGAGCTCAGTAAAACAATCTGTATCTGGGGCACCACTGAAGTATTGAAGTACAGCAGTGCACTCAGTAAGCAAAAGATGACTGTAAAAGCCAGCCAGTCAAAACGTGGCTTCATCTTGAGTAAGTTGACAACTTACTTGTGACGTTACATCAAATTAATCTGTGAAAAAAAAAGAAAAAAAGTTACACATACGTGTACATTTTTTGTATCATCTCACTAGGAGATCAGTGTTAAATAAACAACCTTGTTTATGTTATGGGTGTATTGACAGACGAGGCTGGTACCATTGCAAATGCGATAATACAACAAGTATCTTCTGCTTCTTCTGCCAAGTAATGTCCACAATCATCACGTTGATTATAATGACGTTTTTGTTTTGGAGTGCGCATGGTTAAATATTGGTTAAAAACAGGATAAAAAAAGATGGAAATTAGGCCAGTGACACAGATATAACCAAGGTCTGAAGACCTCTAGACCATCTATTCCTTACATGCTATCAGATTTATACTTACACAATGTACAGTTCCAACGTGAAAAAGGAATAAAAGACCAAGAATGTTGATTTAAGCATGCAGCGTAGTAATGCCCAATATGCGAGTACGCGATCACAAGGATACAAGTCAGCTGATCAGTGTCTGACACTTGACATTTGCACTGACAATTTATCCCATCGATCACGTCGTTTCAAAAGAGCATGCATATATGTGCGTGCAATTTACTATCTCGCATTGATACAAACCTGAAACTTTTGGAACTGATGACAATTTAACCTAGTAGACAGGTAACAGGTTACATGATTGAACTTATACTATAATCGCTTCCTTTCCTCAGCTGTTCCTGTTTATAAACATTTGCATGTGACCCCACAACAGGCAAAATCAAGATCCTCGAAGCGCTTAACGTTGGGGTCAGAGTGAATCTTGTACGCCGGTCCCGAACCCGGACTAAAGCCCGATCCAGGAATAAAGACGTGTATCTCAACAGCGGGCTTGGTTTACCCAGAGACGTATACGTCTCTGGTTTACCTTACATTTACATTTACGGCGATACTGCAAAGGGCCGTCGAACAGCATCAACTTGCAGGTAGACTTGTGTGGCGTGGCTTCCACATAAGTTCGTTAAAAACAGGTTAAAAAGTTAAAACTATTTACAGGATCCACATTCACTCTGCAAGAATCAAGATGACTGTGGAGCGAGGCCTTGAATGCCTCCACAGTCAGCTGCTCGACGACCTCTGATGGTAGTCCATTCCATTCCATGATGGTGTTTGGAAAGAAGCTGTATTTGTAGGTGTCGGTGTTGCATCGTATGTTGATATAGCCATGGTTATGTTGTCTCCTTCCACTTCTGGCGTTACTACTGATATATGGTGGTATGATCAGTGCGTTGGTGTTGTGGATGCCTTTGTAGAGGTTGGTTAGTCGACTTTCCTTCCGTCTCTTCTGTAGGGGT